GAACATAATGTGTATAGACAGTGTGTATCTAATGTATGGTCCCCCTGTCACAGGGCATAAGGCAGGGTAGTATCGGGGTTTGTTTCTGGGGAGATCACTGTGCCTTTAGGAATAAGCTGGATGCTCCACTTCATAGCCTCATCTCCTCATCTGTCTCCTCTGTCTTCCAGGGCTGGCTCGGGTACAGGCACTGTTGTCCTGGATTCCTTGAAGCAAGGTCACATGCTTTCTCCTTGGTACCACTTGGTGCCATGCTTTCCCCTCGTACACACCTGATTACAGCAATAATCACAGACTGCAGCAATTAATACTCCGTATCTGTTTCCTGACTAGATAGCGAGGCAGTATAGGGCAGGGGTTCAAAATCCAACAGTGTCTGATAGAACAAGTACACTCAACATTTTTCACATAGATAACAGTATCACTGAAGAAGAGAATTCTACTAGGGCTATAAAAACCACAAAGCATTACATTAAACAAATTGTTCTGAAAAAGTAAATCATTCCATTCCTTCAGCAAGCGTTTGCTTGGCACCTACATAATCACCCTTACAGATTCGTTTTAAGACTCAAAGCATCGGCCTTCAGGGAGCTAACATTGCAGAGGAGGGTGAGGAAAAAGACACAATTTTTAGAAAATTTTGTCAGTGGGATGTCTACAATATTCGGGGCATTTTGCATGATTTCTAGATCCAGTTATCGAGAAATGTATTCCCCCAATTAGAGATAGTGAGTTCACAGATAATAACAGACAAAATACAGGGTGGATAATAATGTCAAAGAACCAAAAAAATAAGGACTGTGTCAATTCCCTGGGATGCACTTTGAGGTGAAGGAGTAATATCACCCTCCTAGATTTGTGACAGACTTGGGAGGAGGAGGAGGAGCTGTTAAGAAAGAGAGGTGAGGCTGAAATTACTAAGAAAGGAATGGTTCTGAACCAAAGCCAGAGAGAAAATTATAGGACTTGCTGGAACAACAAAGAATCCTCCCCTCCTGCTGCCACTTTCCTTCGAATTCCTCAGTTCAAGTGCTCCTCTCTGCTTGCCAGGACCAGACGCCTACAGATGCCACCTTGTTCATAAAGATGTCACGGTGCTTCCACATTTCATTGGTCACTGTAGAAGTTTCTAAATCCAACTGCTGGAAAGACTTACTCTAACACTCCCTTTTCCACTCCACTTTACAATATGATACGGGGGAGAGCTTTCCAAAAGCAAATCCGATCCTATCAGCACTTCAAGGAACTCCCAAATTTCTTTCTTTTTTTGAGACAAGGTCTTGCTATACAGTTCAGACTGTCCTGGAACTCACCATGGAGACCAGGCTGGCCTTAAACTCACTGCAATCCTCCTGCCTCAGCCTTCCAAGTACACCACCATGCCCGGCTTGGGAACTCCCAAACCTCATACAGGATGAAACCCCAAATCCTTAAAGTGTAGAGGAAGCTTCATGATGTCACCCGTGACATCCCCCTCTGTATCTACTCTGGCATCCCCTCAACACAGGGAACTCCTCCGAGCTCCAGACTTCCTGACCTGTGTGCACCTGCCTGGCCCTTCAATACCTGGCCCCACAACTCTCCTGTGAAGCTCTTTCCCATTCTCCCATAGTTCTGTACACAGCTCCCAGGCATTTATTCCAAATGTCTGCTGCCAATGACCCCCTCCTCCTCAAAGATAGAGATACATCTTACACATTTTTAAAGGGTCCCACATCTACCAGAACACCTCATCCTGCACCCAGCTCCGATATATTGCTCACTTAATGTTGATGAAACAATACTGGGGTCAGGCCAGATTTGCGGGTGACTGAACAAGAAGCGTGAGGGAAAAAAGTGGACTGGTATGGTAAGACAAGTCTACCTAAAAACACGATGGTTAAAGGAACCAATAAGGACAATGCAGTGGCACACCTGGACCAGTATCTCTCAGAGGTAAGGCGCCCTCACCTGTCTACCTCCTAGTAATGTGAGCATCAGCAGTATATATCAGAGCAAGCACTGCCAGAACCAGACTGGGAGCCAGACACATTAAACCATCCACCATCTAAACTAGGAACCCAGAACAAGCAACCAACCACCCAGACAAAACCTTTCCATCTGAATGCCCTGGGTACTTCTTGACAGCTCCGTTTTGGAACAACTTTTCTTCCCTCAACAAATTTTAAACCATAGAGAACGCACACTCACAAATGAAACAGTATACTAGTATAATCTAAATTTCTAAATTCTGCCATAAAAGATGCTCCTATCACTTTTTACATCAATAGGAAGAGATGTTGAATCATATCACTGATTAACTGGGGGTGGGAAAAGCACTGCAGACAAAGCAGCCAACAACACCTTCTGCCACGAGGCAGGGTTACAATAACCCGTGGTCTCTACTAGTGCAACAAATACTACAAGCCATGGATTTTCAGTCACTTCTGCTTAGATGTGACTTCTGTGGTTGGTTTTTGAGGCTGATGTAGAAAATAAGTGGCCTTTTGCAAAAATGCTCTATGCCAACAGATAACCTCATAAGCAAACCTCGTAGCCATAATTTCTGGTGGCCATGAGTTAGGCAAACAAGAAAAACACCATTATAAAATTTACATCTTTAATCTTATTCCACATAAGGAAGCAACCATGATGCTTAAGCACTGAACAGTGTTCCAGTAGTAAGCAGAACTCACTGCTTCAACTTAATGACCTTACCTCCTGTGTATGAGAAAGCACACTTCCATGTAAGTATATAAAACAATTCTATAATACAATCAGGGAGTACATCTAGATGGAAAACTTTTCTGTCTCATGCAAATTTGCTTATGATAATGTCTACTTTATGCCCAGAAACCTGTCAAAATACCTCCTTCCCTAAATTATAAAGTTAATATGTAGGAAGGATTTCACAGAAATCTTCAGCATTCGAGTGGGTTTTAAACTACTACAACAACTACTGGTAACACCAAGTACTAGGAGAAATATATTAGTCAATAGCATTGAACATTACAAAACCAGGGGCAGAGGCCAAAAATTATTATAATTTCACCAGTCTCCTCTCCCATATTTGGAAACCATTTTGTAATAACTTTGTTAATAGCCTGTACACCAGTACCAGCCTACCTCCAGTGACCTTTAACAAGGCTTATTGTAACAACATAAGCTTTCAATCGACATGGGCAAATATTTTCTGATATAAAAATCATTGCAACCTGTACCAAACTTGTATTTAAAAAAACAACCAAAAATGCTTAAATCAATTTAAATATGTGTCACTTGGTATAAAATATGTTAACTGATTTACACACTAGGAAGTATTCATATGAGTAGTTTCTGGAGGGTGGGAGAGGAGGCATGGTAATAGATACACCTTCACTGAATAGAGAACATGCGTGAATTACCACTGTAATTAAGAGCCCAGCTGGGGATTTAGCTCTGTGGTTTCTTGCAAATGCAAGGGTTGGAGTTCAATCCCCAGTACTGGGGGGGGCAGCTAAGTAAATTCTAAATTAAAAAAAAAAAAAAGAGCCCAGTGCTCATGGTGAATTTTATGATGCCTTATCAGATAAACAGAGACTACACAAAATTAGTTTTTCTTTCTAAATTGAGATCTATTGATGGTACAGTAGAATAAATCAAACTTAGAATCTCTTGCTTAAGTCAATTTCCATTTGGGCTTTTACCTCATTTATTTATAATACTTAATATAGACAATGACATCTCACCATAAGAAAAACATCGTCCTAGGAAACTATTTGTGTTAATTTTATTGTAACTTTTAAAACTTTGCTCCCATTATTTGTATTTTTTATGTAATCGTCATTTACTACCTAAACCTGCTAAAAGAAAGAAAAAAAAAAAAAAACTAGCATCATAGGTTCTGTGTCCAGAGCTGTGATTAGGTGGGAAAAAGTCCTAATCTGTACAGATACTGCAAGATGAAAACCTAGGTTTGCAGGTGAGCAGCTAAGCAGATCAGATCAGTTTTCACTAAAAATACTATTTACTATTTTCATAAAGATGAATACTTAATAAATTGTTCTCATCTGCATGAAAAGTAAAGCTAAACCACCGAGTATAACCCCCTCTATTTGATTTGTGCCTAGAAAAAAAAATTACCAAATTCTTTTTAGTGATCAGTGCCAAAAATGTGAAAGGAAGAAAAATCACACTCAACTCCTAAAATTACGTTACTCCCAAAGTTAACAGAGAAGAATATGGCTTTAGGATGGGAGATGGAGCTGTCTGTTTCAAAACTGATTTGGCATCAGGAGATTGGGCCGGAGTCGCCAGAACAGACCGCATGGTAATTTAATCAGTCTTCCGGAGAGACCAATATATTATCATTCCCTGACAGTGATCTATTTAGGGATCTGATTTTCTTCCTGCTCTTCTCATTCCTTTCCCCTTCCTCACACCCTCTCCTTTCTTTTGTTTGCTCTTTCGCTTAACAGCTGTCCCTCATTCAGTCCACCACTCCTAAGGAGAAAGGAGCCACCCGGGCTTGCTCCCCGAGCTCCAGGGCCTCTGCGGTCGAGTAGGATCCCTTCCCCCGTGCACTCCGCAGAGGAAGAAGGATTCCGGCCCGCGTGCAGCGGCCACAAATCTGTTCCCGGGCCGCCCCGCCCTGCCCCAGCCCTCCTTCAGAGCAACCCCTTCGCTTTCACTTTAGACGGGATTCAGGTGGGTCTCAGCCTGCCCCAAATCTAGGCTAGCTCCCGGGACCCCGCCCACAGGCTCGCCACTGCACCCAGCTCTGCGAAACCCCAGACTGGTTGGAGACGCAGGAAATGACCCAAAAGTTGCTTCTGGGCCGAGACTTCCGCGCCCCGACGCGTCCCCAGGCCGCCGAGACTTTCTGGGGGCTGCGTCCCCTTCCTCTCCCGGGGCTGTGCTCGGGCTCCCCCACCCAACGGGCGGACGCAAGAACCGGGACTCGGCCACAGCCCCGGCCGATTGCGCAGACCCCGAACTTCTCCCCGAGCCCGCTAGGGCTCCCGGGGACACCTCACGCTCACCGATGTCCCCATCCTCCTCGTCGTCCTCCTCCTCCTCCTGTTCCATGTCTAGCAGAACGTTCCTGGTCATCATTTGCATGTCTCCCCCCGGAGGTGGCTCCGAACTTGGCGGGAAGTTGGGGGCTCTGCGGTCCCGGAAGGGCGCAGTTCCTGGGGAGCCCGGCGGACGCCCTGGAGGGAACTGCAGCGTTTGTCTCTGGCGCTGGGGAAGCCCTGTTCGGGGCTGCCTCTGAGCATGCCCAGTGCGCGGGCAGCGGGAGGATGAACTTCCCAGCTTCACCGGCGCTGGGAGGCGGGCGGGTTCGCGTCCTGCACCCGGGTGCACTACGCGCCCGGGAGGCGACGCAGCCCGGGCAGTGTGAATGCGAGGTCTGCGCGTGGTCCCTCAGCTTTGTATTCTAAAGTCAGATTTGGACACAAACGGAAGTTTGCTTTTTTTTTT